TCAAAGCAGCACACCACACTACATTGAAACAAGCAAGGTAAAAAATGTAACAGTGAAGGCGTGATAGGAGGATATGGGAAATGTGAATATCCCATGGCAGAAGGGGAGATACCACAACTGTTTAGCACACGTTTGGTCACACGTTTGTCTCTTTGACGAGTTGTTGTGTGCCTAAGAATGGCGAGACTCACTGACGATGCCGGCGAAACATCTGGGAATGTACCGCATCAACGGTCCGATTTTGGGAATGATCATGCATATAATGGACTCTGGAATAAGTGCGTTCCTTTAAGTCTTCCAACCAATGTGACCAAGTTGCGAAAACAAGGTCAAACAACCTTTCTAGATAAAACTTTAAAGCTTTTCAAGCAATTCAGTTCCCGCGTGATTGGAGTTCCAACCGGTCTCTGAAACATAGTATTATAGCTGCATGAAAATCGTAAACTCGCAAGAAGTATCAATCTTGTAGTATAAATAACTCAAATAAATGGAGGATAACACATGGCAGAATAATGAAGAATATTTCGTGGTGGCCCCCAAGCGGCTTATGAGATTCTCGGTCTGAAGCCACAGCATTCTCGGCCTGCCGTGTTAGGCCAATCCTGCAACACTTATGCTGGCTTAGTCAATAATACTAAGACATCAGCATCAATTCAAGGAGGCATAAATCACTGGGGCTGGTACAATTTTTGTTTTAAGCAGCTTTCAAACGACTTAACATGGTAAAAAAATGCAGAGCTAACAAGTGGGCAAAAAGGGAATAAGACAACTCTTCGCAGTTCCTAATGGTGCCATTCCATGAGATCACGAAAATAACATATAAATTCAGATGAAGTAAAGAAAAATAAGAAATAATAAGGAGATTGATAATCTCCTTGATACTACCTTGCGAAAATATTAGAATCATCTCACACAATAAGGTCGTTACAAATTCTTGCGCTCATGTAGTTTCATCTATGTAGGAGTAATCTGATTACCCCTGCATAGGATGTTTTCCTAATATCATTTGAATACGATCGGCCGAACACCAGATAATGTGGTTTAAAACCGGTTATGGAAATCTTTCAGTTAAGAGGAAGATTAAGGAATAAATATGAAGTAAAAAAGTAACTAGCATATTGAGAAGAGGGAACAAGTGTAGAAAATCCAGCAGAAACTACATCTGGCTGTTGGGAACAATTAGAGAGAACCGGTGAGAAAGTTATGCTTGTGTAACTCAACAATGCTAGGGCCGTTTGTTAAAGTGTTTGCTTCATAGTTAGCAGACTCACTATGCTAGTCCCGCTCGAAAGGCTGATAAGAGAAAAAGATAAGGTCCAAATCGGAGTTGAGCCAGATAAGATAGGCTTTTTACTATGAATGATGCAGAGAAAGCAAATACAAAAGATCAAACATTCTCGTCAATTCCTCGTGATCAGACTCGTGAAACCAATCCAAACTTACATATCTCGCAAAAAAAAAGCAAAGTCAACAAATTAGAGCATATAAAAACTGAGCAACGGAAGAAGCTTGCACATCAATGACATAGAGATGAAACTAAGAGTGAGCCAAAATGCAAACAAATCCAGAGCGTCAATAAACCAGGAGACACTAACAATGGTTAAGCATGGCAACGTATAAGCCAATGGGCCGATAAAATAGAGCATGGATTATTCACAGAAACAGAATATAGCGTAATTTTTGGGCAGAGCAAGTAGAATGTTAAAACAAATGCATCGGAACACAACCAGAAATATACGCCACTAGAAATATACATGTTTATGCGTGATTGTATGTAGTTAAGCGAGGGAATATTGACTAAGCCCATGAGTCGATCAGCATAAGGACGTTTTTGATTGAAAGGAAATT